TCTTCTTAACGCACCCCAGGATCCCATTGGCCTTCTTGGCCACGAGGGCACCTGCTGCCTCATGGTCACCTTGTCATCCACCGTGACACCCAGGTCCCTCTCTGCAGAGCTGAGGGATAGGCCAAACTTGGCCATCCCAGGGCTGCCACAGACACCCCTTTTTAAAGTTTATTTAAACTTCAGAGTTCGGGCACAAATTGAACTGGAAATTCCATTTGAACACAAGAAAACACCTTCCTAAAATTAAGGGAGGCAGAGCTGTGGATCTGGCTGTCCAGTGAGGCTGTGGAGCCTCCATCCTCGGACACACTCACATCCATCCGGACACGATCCTGTGCATGAGCTGCTGGTGGCTCTGCCTGTGCAGGGCGCTGGACTAGCGGATCCCCTGCGGCCCCAGCCCACCACAACCATCCTGTGACCGTCGAGACAAACGTATTGGATGAGGAAGGCAGCAGCAAACGAACTCTTGCAGACAAGTCAACAGCGACACTGGCAGCCCCAGCTGGCTGCTAAACGCTTTCCTGCCCTCCTACAGGAGCGGCTTTTAGAAATACGAGCTCCATTTGCATTTTATCACTAACTTGTGATGAGGGATATATTTAACTTGGTGACTCAGTACACCACGCACACCTCTCTACTATCATCCTTTATCAGCAGAAATAGTCTTACTATCCTCAGCTCAACAATGTTTATACGATTTTTTTTTTCCTTTTCTGCAGCCTAGAAATCATGTTCTAACTCCTCAGCCAAAATTGGGAGAGATCAGTTATGGCTGGAAGAAATGAAATCTTCCTTTTTGCATTCTGAAAATTAGGCCACAGGAGCAGAGAAAGTCAAGTAATAACCATTATATTCCCCCAAGCTTGCTTGAAATTGCAATCTCTGGCACTTCCTCTCTCTCTCTATGCATATACCCACACAAGGCCTGCTCTCCCAAAGGTCACATTCTTTAAAAAGGATAAGAGGAAAATGTCTGTACAGAAGGACAAATGTCTTGAATTTGGGGAAAATTTGATGGCAAAAATACTAAAACTTCCAAAAGAACGGAAAGGAGTTTTTAGAAAAAGCATCTGAACTTCAGTGTTCCTCAATCGTACAGTTAACATATGGCCCACAGTCTGCGTGAGAAGCAAACTCAACGTACACATTACGAATCTCATTAGATGCATGCATGGGGAATAACCCCTGAAGCGCACGGTTTTGCAGAGGGCTCGTTGGCCACGACCGAAGCAGCTAGTGCCACCGCGCGCACGTGGGCACCGCCTGGCTGGGGACCCCCCGGGTCCCGGCCGTCCCCGTGCCCCGCAGCACAGGGGAGAGCTGGCCCCTGCGCCCAGGCTCCCCGTCCGTAACGCGAAAGGAAACAGGAGGGATATCCAGAAGAGGCAGGAAGAAACGTGCTGAGTGGGAACCCTGCTAAGAACATGGCCCTGGGTTGCATGCAAACCCCCAGGATGGAAGAGTCCTGCTGCTTGGTCAGTCCTGCAAGGAGCAGGCGAAGGAGGCAGCCGGCGCTTGCTCCATGCAGCTGCAGGGTGAAGGGCTCGAGGGACAGCACCATGGACCACGTCAGCAAAGGGCTCCGAGCAAAGCCTGTGCAGGGGAGGGGTAAGCACAGAAGGGGGTTCACAGATGGAAACTACTGGAAATAGGTTTTTATTTGTTTGTCTAAATTTCAAAGCTAGAATTTAGACTGCTTGTATTACAAAGTGGGAGGAACTGGTGGCCAGAACAGTCTTATAACTTCCCCTCGAAAATAAATGATTTTATTTCAAACAAAAGGCCAGATGTCTAGCACAGGAATGTCCTCTTAATATCACAGCCAACCTGTTTATACTATTGATATTATGGAGATAACAAATACTTTGCAAAGGGCATTTCTCACCCCATTTTGTCCTCCTGCTACAGTATGGAAAATCTGTCCTCCTGCATGCCACAGAATGAGCAATAAAATCCATATTCACATGGGAAAAGACACATCCATATTATGATTGCAGCACGTGATTATTTTCTTAACTGCTTTTACACGTTGACTCATTCTGTGGCATGATACCAACGTGACTGTGCTTTTTAATCTAGCAGCAACTTGTTTATTTTTACCTTTTTAGGGAAATGCAGTGATTTCCAGAAGGGGAGGAGGGGCGTGCAGGCAGGCCGCGCCACCCGCAGCATCGGGGTGCTGAGCAGCGAGCGCGTGCCGGGATTCCCGGGAGAGCCGCGCCGTGAGCTCCAGGCCTGACTCGGGGCAGCAGCAGCACGAGAGCCTCCCTGCAGCCAGGTCTGTGTGTGCAGAGCTGGGGCTGCCCCTGCAGCCCCCCGAG